CGAAGGAATTAAAGTCTATTAGGATATGTCAAGGGAGAATAGATACCATAAAGGAGTTCATAAAAAGGAATGTCGTCCATAACACTCAAACATGAACTGACGATAGTACAGAAAAAACCTTTGCTCCTGCATCTTCGATTCACTGGAGGAATCTCGAGTGAAATTTTGTAATAATGTTATCCAGGGCTAAAAATATAACGTCTCTACTTTTCCTTTAAAGTCTAACTGTTGTTCAACACGAGACTTAGGGATGCCTTGTCTAATTTGAGCTTATTATCATACATATACAAATTCAACTGTTCCTGCAGAACCAGTTACATAAGACGCACACGTCCATCTTAGGTTACGAGAACATTTGGTGGCTTGGTTTGCAAAAGGGTGAGTTCAAATCCATTTGAAGTTCTCTACCAGTAAATCAAGTAAGCAGTCGACAGTTTACACAGTTTAAACTCAACTTACAACCGCATCGGACATACACTCGTAAGTTACACTATCATCTATAAACTCAGACAATCTAATTGTAAGGTAGTATTAATCACGGAGAACTAGTTAAAACCTAGGAACACTAAACATTTGTTTCGTCATAGTTTGGGACTTTTAAGCATTATGCACTCATGACCGATCAGGGATCGAACTCGGGACATTCCGATCTCGTGTCAAACTAGGTGTCCATTCAACCACAGTTTCCTACTTCTGGAGAGAATGGCAATTGAAGACCCTGGTGGATAATCGTGCCATGTTGCAAAATGACAAAGGAAGGAACTGTGAACTAATGACTCCAACTCACAAATCAATAGTCAACACATTCGCCCCAACACCTAAAGGTCTTGAGTTTGATCCCTGGTGGGATCGTGATTACAGAATGCTAAAGAGTTCAGTACCAGGAAGAAACATATATCTAGTGTTCTCGGGTTTTCATTGGTTCTTTAACTGATGTTGGTTGTGGTCAATACAACCTGAAATAAAAAGAATCCCTATTAATCTCGCCCAAACTGCAGTCTAATTGTAACTATTATTTCATACCCATTCTTAAGTGCATCGGTCATAAATTTGGTAATCGTTGTGGTAATTAATCTGATTTTATTTATAACTGTCGAACTTGATGAAAAGTTACTGACAAGAATATTCATAGTTCATACTTGACGTAACATTAAACAGTTTTATGAGGATTTTAAAATTCTGTACTGATGCTAAACAAAGTGTACATTTTGTGTTACTATTATCCATCTGAAGAAAAAGGTGTCAATACTAATATCCCCACTTAGCCAGAAACTAATCTGGCTCCATCGCTACCACTCATAGAATAAAATGCTATGGGGGTTATTATTTAAAATAAAATTTCTTATCATGAGAATATTCACTGTTAAACCCCACTTCTCGTTAATTATTGTTATGAAAGCTGTAAACAGAGCAATCAGTATGGATGAAAGAAAACCATCAGTCAGGAAATGTTAAAGTATCTAATAAAATATGCAGAATTTAGAATGATTTTACATAAATCAGGATGTATACTTTTATGAAGAGGTAGAAGAATGATGGATATTACTTCTGATAATTATTTAATAAGCCTTTCTCTTCTAGGAATGATGCTTCATGTGCTGTAAACCCTAAAAACTCAGAAATGATATTTACTTTTAAAGAGCATCCATTTTCTGATCATGCATGATATTTGCCAATGCAAAAATAGCCCGGTGAAATGTCTAGCGAACCGTGTCACAAGTATTAGCTATGATGATTCTATGGAGGAAGGGTTCGCCTCCATCTATAACCTGCTTTGTAGGAATGACTATCCAACAAAGTTTGTAACCAAGCAAATGAATAGTAATTTGGTTGGTTTGGGGCTAGCAGAGGACTTAAAAATATGCGTTTCGTCCTATTTGGGACTGTTCAGGTGGGTTTACCTGCACCTAAATGAGTGATGTTGTTCCCACTGAGACTCGAACCCCATACCCATCGCTTCAAATGCCAAGGCGTAATTCACTATGCCGCTGAAGCACGGCAGCTACTTATTGTACAACCGGGTATTAGTTATTACTATTTATTGGTATACTTGTAATCCGTCTTTGTTTTGTTGGATGGATTGTTCGGTTTCTAATGGCAAATGGGCTCCTATGCGGAAGCCTTGATATTGCCTGAATGTTAATTATGGAAATTTGTTTGAGATTTTCTTGGAGAATTACAAGTGTATCAATAAATAGTAATAACTAATACCCGTTGTACAAGAAGTGGCTGCCGTTCTTCCGTAGCATGGTAGATAACGCCTTGGCATTTGAAGCGATGGGTACGAGGTTCGAGTCTCAGTGGGAACAACATCATTCCGCCCTGGAGTGCAGGTAACTCCATCTAACGAGTCATAAACGAGAGGAAACGTGCGTTTGAAGTCCTCTGCTAGCTACAACGAAGCAAATGACTGTAACTAACATTCAGGCAATATTGAGGCATCTGCACAGGAGTCCATATATTAATAGAGGTCGAACAATTCAACTCAATAAAACAACGGAGAATTACAAGTATATCAAAAATAGTAGTAAGCATATAAATGTTACGAAGTTAAGACAGGAATGACAACAATTCCCAAAAAGGATATCTTCTTGAAGCCGAAAAGTAAGAGTGACTTTGCTAGTGAGATTACCACACAACGCATAAAATAAGCCTTGCAAAAAGCAGTCTCAGCCACTAAATTATGTCTTGTCTTCTATAACCACGTTGTTTTACGTACAAGAAATAAAGACAAACTGCCTAATACTGCAACTTCCATGTGCATTTATCAGTTAAACTGCTCTTGCGAAGCTAATTACAGTGAGTGTACAATCACACCAGCCCATAGTCAAGTTTATGAGCTTCACACTCATCGTGTTGGGCAAGGGACAAATTAAAACAATAAAGAGCTCCATACTTGCACAGTTAGCTAATACTGGACATCAAGTGAATACGAGAAAAGTTTTCAGAACTATTCATCACATACCAATTAATTTAATATATTGATTACGCATTCACTTTTTTCTCATAGTAGAGTCTGTTGTACTCCATCTTTAAAACCTGACACTTTTTTTCAAAAGGAATTTGTTCAATCATTTTCTGCACCGTGGTCATCATCATGTAACTTTTATATTGCTTTTCATGCCTCTTCTCCCCTTCTGTTTTACCAATATTTATTTGGCTTCTTATTCTCACGTAATTATTTATTGGCGACTGAACCCTTATCGAAAAGTCCTACATTTTCTGTACCAGTTAATACGCAACTTACCTAAGAATAACCTGCTTCGTTTCACTAGTTTTAATTACTTTATTGATTATTTATATATTAATTTCTAAACTTATCTTTCTCATGACTTCCTTAAAACCTATAATTATCACTCACCACCACCCCCCACCATTTGATTGGTTTTTTGATTGGGTTATAAACTTATAAGTCAGTTGGATAGAGGCAATCGGTAGGAAACCCTGCTCGACCTAGTTTTCGCACTTGTTGACATTTGTTAGCAGTGCCTATCTACAACCTGACGGTACTGATGTCCCATATGAGATTCGGACTCGTGGCATTCAGTGTTGTAGTCAGCGACGTTACCAAGTTATTCAAGGTGCGGCTGGCCTCCTGTAGGACTGAACTGGATACACTGATTGACCACTGGAGGGTAACCAACTTCATCTTATCCAGTCCTAAGTGCTGACCGAATTACATCTATCATTTTGCAGTGTGGCCACCCGACTAAGCAGCTCAGCATCGCGATGCACATTGAAAGCTGTTAGTTGAACCAATCAATGTATCTAATCCAGTCCTGTAGGATACCAATCCCGGCCCGAATAGCTCCATAGTATCGTTGCTAACTACAACACTTGGCGACATGGGTACGAATTCCAGGCGTAACATCAGCTCTATGAAGGTTGTAGATATGGTTTTGCTGACGAGTGCTAAAATGCACGGAACCATGGTTCAGGACTTCCTGCAGGTCGCCTCCAATAAATTATTATCTATTAAAGTACATCCCAATGCTGAGCTTGCTGCCTAGTCTAGTGGGTGCATCAAAAATGATCAGTAGAATTCTATCAACCTTTAGGACTAGACAACATGAGGTCGGTTACCCTTCAGTGACCGATCAATGTATGTAACATGTGCGTAGCACATTCAGGATATTGTATAATGCATGTCACTGAGTTTTCCTTTCATTATTTTATAAAAATTTAATGCACTTAAACACCCGATGAATATTTGTATTCAAGCCAACTTTGGAGTTAATAGGAATTTTATTTATTTCAAGGTAACATTCATCAAGAACTGAGATCAGTTGAAGAAATATCGAAACATGGGGAGCACGGATAGCTGTTTATTCCAAGTATAGACTCATAATGATTTAGCGCCTACAACCCCGTCAGTGACCGAACTAGGGATCTCCAGGTGTTGCGGCGAATGCGTTGACCATTGAACCACCGATTTAGAATCATGTGGTTCAAAGTTTCTTACTTCAGTCAGTTTGTAATATGGCACGACTATCCACATGGATAGCTGCAAATGGATAGTGAACTGAATTTTCAAGTATGCACATCATGGAGGATAGTAATGATTTGTTGACTTCATGGCGGCATTCATTGCGGATTCACATCAGTTGCACAACTGCAGAAAATCTAGCGGCACTGGATAGCTGTTTTGTCGTAGTATGGGGCTCCCCAGAAGTGCGCGCCTAAGACTCCCCAGTGGTCGAACTCAGGTTTCGCTGTGAGCAAAATACCACTGAGCCACTGGATCAGAACGTAATGATCAACATTGCTTACTTCTGTCAATTCGCGACATAGCACGACCTTCATCCAATACCCTCCTTGAGTATTTGTCCTGACGTCCGATCACGACTTCTAATTAAAACTTTGGGAAATCTTACTTTGTAGTAAGTCACCATTCAGCATTTCAGAGTAATTCAATTTCCAGGTGTATGAGGATTTATTGAAATCATTTATTTAACGTGAGCCCACTCATTAGAAAATGAAAGTTAATGAAAATAACCTACCGTAATGTCTTTGTGTTAATATTTTTTCCATCAAATGGTTCAAATGTCAGCGCTTCATTCCAAACAGGATTTAGACACTGTGGTCTTGTAGATGTACGTGGTGTAGGACTGTTATGACTTGTCGGTAAAAGTTGGCATACAACATAAGGATCTGATAATCCATTTGCATCCATCGCAATTAAATTCTAGAATATGAATCAAAAAGTATTTAAGATTAACACTCTTGTTTCTAAAACAACATGCTGATATTGTTTAATATTTCCTAAGATGGACAGAGAAATTTAATTATCATTTTGACTATCTGGCCGTAGCTTGGCAGACTAGTACTGATACTGGGTGATGATTGAATGTGAAATGAAAATTTGGACTGCGGCCGGATTCCAATCAGCGACCACAGGGTTTTCAGCTCGATATCCTACCAATTGAGCTACGAGGCAGAGCATCTGGCCAGAAGCCCAATGGTTGCTGGTTCGAATCCGGCCGTGGTTCAAATTTTCATCTCAACTTTAATCATCACCCAGTATCAAAAAAATTAAATTCATAGAAGTTCTAACAGACATACTGAAGAGTTTTTGCATGTTTACCAGAATGTATGGGATTATATGTATAATATATATATATATATATATATATATATATATATATATATATATATATATATAGTCTCTAGTTTACTTTATTTTATAATCTGAATGAGTTAGCAAATATTTCCAGTATGTATCCTCCTTATTGTAGACTGGCGTTGAGATTTGAGTTTTCTACTACTGTATTTCTCGATATCATAATTGCAATATATGGTAGGGCTGGAATTTACCTTTAAGCTTTAACACAGACAGTCATGGCAATTAGAATAACATGATAAAAATAATATGTAATCTGGTTCATTTCTTCAAAATATCTACATAGAACGAATATGTTTAGCGTCTTGTGTTACAGTGATATTCCAATGAATATACTGACTGAGTTTACTGAGTTAACCTTGTCTGTGAGAAAAATTTACAGTATATTAGTGTTTACTAATATTCAAAAGAAAACGTAGATTGTGATAAGAATGAAAAGAAAGTTAAGTCTCTTCTTCATCACATCTGAAAGGCTGTAGCGGTGATATTATCGTGTACTTGTTGATTTCATTTGAATACACTATAATAATCAAGACTGAATATTTGTTAACATAAGTGACTTGGTTATAGAAAGCAGTGGAATCTAGCAAGCGCTTCCTGTCCTACTTGGGACTTGCCAGCTGGATGTACCTACACACTAGTAACTGATGTCGTTCCAATGAGACTTGAAGCCATCGCTTCAAACGCTCAAGTGTTAACCATTACGCAACTGAGGTCAAATAGCCACCTCTTATACGACGTCTGTTAGTAATTATAATTTGTTGATACTTGTTATTCTTCGTCGGCATTCTAGATCAAATCGACTGACCTCTGTTAGCATATGGGCTTTTGTGTGGATGCTTCGATAATGCTTCTATACTAATTGTTATAACTGACTTGCTTTTGGCGAGCAGTGGAATCCAGGACGCACGTTTCTTCCTATTTCGGACTAAGTCAATCATAACAATAAATATTCGAGTAATACCGAGGCATCCAAATAGGAGACCATATACCAACAGACGATGATCAATTCAACCCCGTATAATCAATAAAAATGAACCCATAGTAAACTGAAGAGATCTTCGTTGAAATCATTGACTCTTCGTGTCTTTTTTATTTACAGGAGTGATTTAATCAGTTCATTAGGATTTATATATATCTCATACGGAAGCCTCTGTGTTTTAATAGTTGCGTCTTGCTTGCTTTTAGTAGTGAAAAACAGTGGACCACAGGCGGCATTTACATTCCGTTTAGTGCATACAACCCAGATTTATCTACTCCATGCGCTGGTATTCCCATTGAGACTACAGATCACCTACTCAAGTATCTTTAAATGGTGTCGTTCTTACTCATGTGCGACCAAATTATAATGACGAACTGCATAAAGACGTTGGTTCGATCAGCTCATCGATTATCAGAAAGTATTTGATTCAGTGCTATAAATCATTGGAGGAAAAAATAAAGGTTCCTGTAATAACTGACGTCTTTTGAATGATAGTTGGCTATCTTCAATTATCGGCCTAGTAGATGACATCCTGTTGTTAGGCTAAGATTGATGCTGGGTTCAAATTTCAGTAGAAAAACTAGTACTTACCAATATTCGGGTAAATCTACTGACAAGTTCAACATAAGGCGAAAGGTACATTGTCGTTTCCAATGTTAACAACTACCGGATATCCTTGAGCTATAGAATGAGTTCCTGGCCAGATTAGTTTTGAAAGTAATTTAGCGTAGAGGCCATATCATAAACTAGGATTCTCACCTCTTGTAAAGACTCTTCACTCTACTGTGTTAATATTTCGTTCAAAACTATAGCTCCCCTGAAACTATTTGTGGGTTTTGCACTAAAATGGCAGACAGCGAGGTTTGGGCACCTGGATCCTTTAAATAAGTCATATAACAACTTACTTCTTGGGAAGTAAAACGAATTAAGTACTGAGAAGCTGACTATGAACAGCTTCGAAAAATTGTTTGCCTTTCCTTCCAAACTGAAGCTTTAAAGTGTAGAGGGAAACTCCAAAATGTTATCATAGGTGTAAAATTATCTTACTGGAAATCTATACATTACCGAATATTTTTTTTCCATAGCAATCTGTGCTTTACGGTTGGGTAAATTCCTATCTATATGGCTCCTTTCCTCTGTATGTGCCAACAGGATTTCTCCACTAGCATGATTAGTTGTGGATAACAGTAAATGCAGGAAAGATTTGTGAAACTAACCAGCTATACAAATTAGCTTCTCAGTTTATCTGTCCTACTATTATTGAAGTAATCAAACTGTTTTCCATCTCATTAAACTTCCGCATTGTGGGAAGGGATAATGATTGTTAAGTAATACACCTGTCTTTCAATAACTCTATCCTAACCGCTAAAACCTGTACACTTTATAGCTATACATAACTAACTAATACACATTGGTTAAAGTTCCGACTAAGCAGCCAGTGTGAGTACCATCAATCGATAGTAACGCGTCACAATACACGTGGCAGTATGATAAAACCCTTGGTGATTAAAATGAAACATAGAAACTCTGGTAAGCAGTCGGGTCTTGTAACCCAGTTGGTAGAGTACCAGACCGGTAGACATCACTTTGAATTCTGCCACCACCTAGGTTTTCATTTCGTCTTAAATCATCACCAGTAAAGCTACACAGCACAAAACTTTTTATGATGTCCAGAAGTCTGTAATTATAATTTAATTGAACACGAATTTAACAAAATTAAAGTCTTATGATATAAAAAAGTAAAGTAATGCACATAAAATGCCTAAAAGTGTCTTACTTTAGCCTTGTGTATAGCTACATGAAGTTGTTTGTTCAGTGTATCGTGGTAGAGTGTGAAATAGAGGACACCAAATGGAGCTGTTCGCAGTTAAAAGAGAGAAAATATAACAGGGAAGACAATAATAGACATTTCAGCAAACTTCGCAGTGAAGGGATTTACTTATGAAATGAATGATATTTCAGAAAGAACGTGTACGATATTTACAGTCTAAGATATATATATATATATATATATATATATATATATATATGTCATTTTTAGGCATATTTCTTAGAATTGTTTACATTTCAACAGAAGCATTATTATAATGGTCAGAATCTCAGCTGTAATATCTGCTGTGCACCACCTTCCTTGAATAATATGGTAATCCTGATCATGTGTAGAACAACTAGTTTCAGTTGACCTCCTTTTTTCACGAGTTTATATGCTTCATGGCCTATTACATCACTTTGGTATGCGTATTTAATATCTACACATCTTAGTAGTTAGTGGAATAAGTTCAAAGGCTTGAATTATGATCACTATATAGCTTGAAGTCTTAAACAGGCTAGAAACTAGTTGCATATTCTCTAAACAGATGTTTGAACGATTCTAGTTTCGTATGAAAATTACTACATTAATACATGCTAGAATTTACATTTTTCGCACAAAAACTTTCGACATAACTGATGTCAGTAAGACTGCTTACATAAAGAGGATTTTTCTATATAGTAATCTCTATTGACTGACATTTAGTTTGGATAGTCTGAATTCACAGGCTAAACCAGCTGAGACATACAGTAGGTGAAGTGGACTTCAGATTGGGCAAAACATTTTTCGGTATATGCATACTTGTGATTTTTATTCGGTATACTGGATCGAATTTAATGAACTCTGCTGATAAATGATAGTATATCTTTTACAGTTTCAGGTTGTATTCTGTCTGATGACCAGACAGTTAAAAAATGTCCATACTGAAACTCCTCGAAACACTTTCATGCTTAACTGTTTTGGTCAAACTTCTCAGAACATGGATATTCAAGTATTCTTTGAACTGTATTGTTTTGAACCCGGAAATGAACTTCAAAAGTTATCAGCTAATAGCTTCTCCAGCTTCATGTAATCAAAGTGTTTGATAACGGTAATTATTCCTTGACCCTCTTCAGCACTCACTCAATAAGGTGCCAGAGACACAGTTTTAACTTGCTAAAAGCTGGAGGATGTTTATTATAAACGTTTTGGTTTCCTGAAGTTAACCTAGTCAGAGCCATATGAAACTGTAATCGCTATAAAGTGATACTTCGTAGTCGATTTTTTGGTTAGGAAAAGATGTCATGCTATAGTACATATCATTTTTATTTTTAATGCTGCATGGAAAACCATGACATTTCGTTGATTTCACGAAAAGTGAAAGAGCTTCATGCGTTGCAGTATGCTTACCTGCGGTTTAGTATTATTCATAGCTTTACATTTCTAAATATCTTCCTACTGCCATTGTTTGTCATAGCTCGTGCTTTTATCTAAAGCTATAACACTGATGTTAAATAAAGAAGACTTTATCCTTGCTAAAAAATGTTGTACCACCCTTGAATATTTTATTGTGGATATATAAAAATGCTGGTTATATCATTAACTGTTGTTTGCTGTTTTTGATCAGCTTTTTATCTTGTGTTCCATTGACTGGTTCAAATACACCATCACACTTGATGTGAATGGATTTTCATGGAAATAGGTAGGATAAATAATTTTTCCCAACTCCTTTTGATATGTTTTCAATCTCAGTAAGCGTCTGTATTTTTAAATGAGAAACATATACTTTCATTTGAAACGCTTGAAGGTAATACTGGTTTGCAAAGTGGTTATTGTATCAAACAGATTTCTTTTTTAATACCAGGAACGTCGATTAATCTATTTTATTTAGCAGTGGGACAAAGTGAGAAGGAAACAAAGCCTAAAAAGGATAAATCATTTGCAAATTATTTACAAATAACCCTGTCTACTCTGAAGTTTTTGTCAGTTGAACAGTCTTCAAATGTTGATCTATAGCGTTAACGTAGTTTCCGTTGGAAACCACCTAGCCAAAGTTACACGTTGTGATATCTAACATAAAAGTGTCATGAGCTAGCGTGTATTAATTAATGATTTACTCTGACCTAGGTAGTTTTCAACAGAAATCCTGTTGGGCGACTGAAAAGTTACTCCGCTGCAGGAAATGTCAACATGAAATGTGTAATTTGTAAGTAATCTGCAAGTTATTCATCCCAGTTGAGGTATACCATTTCATTCAAGTCACCTAACCAGATAACGATGATCAGAACAGCTGAATTTTTTCGTGTAAAGCCCTGACAAATTGACCTCGAGTGAGTCAAACGGTCATCTGGCGCTTAGATAACTCTAATCTGATTAACTGAGCCTACAGATCGGTATGAATAGTCTCTAATTGTGCATGCGATTCATGTCACATTTCGTTGAAAGTGGTGAGAAAGAGGACAGTCCGAACAGAGTAGTAGAAAAAAGCAAACACAGTAGTACTATTGTGATCACTCTTGAATAAAGTGACTTTTTGTTTCAATTATCTGATTGATATATAAGTTGTACACGATGGCAATATAATTTACACTTCTTTAAATAGCACACAGAAATAGTCATTGAATTAATGGATAGGTGCCATGTTATAATTTGGTTATCCTAATGTTTTTTCACAACTAATTTTGCTACAAATACTGTTACAGTTTTCAGTTACATATGCAACGTGACGAAAATCATATTTAATTTAGATAAATAAATCAATAATTTGTATCGTTTCAGGTTGGAATTCACCATGGATCGATATCAATTGGAGGAAAATTGGAAACCTGGGAGGACTGGAAAACTGTTTCATTTTAGTATGGGAATCCTCAGCAGTGCGCACTAATAACCCCACACCACCACTGATCGAACCCAGGACCTTCAGGTTCTGCGGCCAGAACATTGTCATTGAGGCACTGGGTCAAAATTCAGCGGTTCATATTTCCTACCTCTGCGAGTTCACGATATAGCGCCATCTTAATCCAATGTCATCGCTGAATGACTTTCCTCATGGCTCTACTGATTATGACTTCTAATTGGAACTTCGGGAATCACCTCTTAAAGCTAGTCATCAATGAGCTCTAGATGATGATGAAATAGACTAATAAATCTCCAGAATGAATTTCTATCGTTGTTTACATATGGCCCATAAAGTTATTAGATTGTCACGGAATGAGAGAAAGCAGATAAAGGTGAACTAATATCTCTGGTTATGGCCAGGTTTAACTTGGTCCATCCAATTTCCAGAAAAATAATTCTCAAGTACTTAGATCCTCCACCGAAACAAAATTAATGCATAGACATTCCTGAGAAGTGACCTAACACGCCTCTTATCTTTGCTTTTTGAATTACATTATCCACACCTAAGGAAGATTTATCTTAGCTTACCTTCATCACTTGCAGATACAGTGGGACGTCGCATAAGGGACACAGTATTTGATACAGTTGAAAGAAGATTGGCAGGTTCTTTTTCACCCGTTAGACTTGCTACTTTTTGTGTAGAATTTGTACTTGTAAATGAAGAGGCTAAAGCTGAAGCTGTTGAGTGACTGACAGTTTTGTTTGGCGTAAATGCTGGATGAAAGGGTACCGCAGAAATTGGCGACACAGACTGAGCTTTCCATGAAGATGTAGGACTAGGTGAATCAGGCAGTAAACAAGATGGTGCTATATATGAGATATCTTGATTATTCAGACTTCCAGATACATTAGTATAGGATGGTGAGTTGGGTTTGGAGAATTCGGTGAGATTTTGATTTGTTGGAACATAAGTGACATGCTCTGGTGATTTTTGTAATTTTTTTGTTGCACAACGTACTTTTGTACTTGAGTTTACTGAAGTGCAAAAATTTACAAAAAAAGATGAAATTATCAAGGCAAAAAGTAAAACATTTTCAAGTTTTAGTTATTTATAGACGATTACTAGTAATATTAAAGTGATTCTTAGTGGAACTCCAGAAATTAAAACAAGAACAGAAAATAAATTGAGTAAAAAATTACACTGGAATAAATTTTCAGTGTAGAATAATTTAACTTCCAGTTACTTCATTTGCTTTTCGAGATTGTACAGTTTCTTACTGGTGTGTAATTTGCCTATGCTCCAAGACATTTTCCATTAAACGCAAAACAGAAAACTAGTAGACAACTAACGTGTCATAAATTTTTGGATATTGATTATTTTTTTATCTCAGTTATGGATAGTGGCTAGCAGTAAAGTTCAAGACAAGAGTTTCATCGTATTTGGGACTCGTCAGCCAGATGGACCTGCCTCCCAGTGAGAGATGTTTTTCCCACTAGGAGGAACAGATCGATTCGATCTACTCAGTCACGAGACAACACAAGCAACAACACTGGGATTTTACACGTCGTGAAAGAAGAGGTTGTCGTGATTTGATGGTCTGCTGAATGATGTCTGGCGTTTGAATCGACCGGTCTCAAGTTCCAGCCCTAGTGGGAACAACATCCCTCACTGGGAGGCAGTTACGTCTAGCTGAAGATTCCAAAGTAGAATGAATTCGCTTCCTGGGTCCCACTGTTAGCTATTATCCATTATTAATAAGTAGTTCAAAGACAGACAACATCGAGGAATCTATGCAGGAGCCCATTTGCCAATAGAGACCGATCATTTCGGCCCACTCAATGATGAGATAACACAAGTCACAAAATATTCCTATCTTAGTTTAAGATGAGTAGAATATATGCTGAGATATAATTAGGTGCATAAACCAGCCAAAAAACGTTTCGCATGCTAGATATGAATCAAATCGATTTTTAAGATGGAATTCACCATAGGCTGACGTCAGTTGGATGAACACTGAAAACCTAATAGCAGTGGATAGCTGTTTCGCCATTTTATGCAACACCTCAGCGGTTCCCACCCATAACTCTGAGAGATTGAACCCAGCGTCATTAGGCTGCATAGCTACACGTTTCCATTCACTCACTGGGTTGGAATTCAGTAATCTCCATTCTCCTACTTCCTACAGTTTATGACGTGGGGCAATAACCATGAAATACCATCAACGAGTATTCATCCTCACAGATCACCTCGAAATAAAAAAAACTGTCATGTAGCTAATCAGTCTCTGAATATCACCAATCAAATTGCTTGAAGTTCTCACTCATGGCATACTTAGAGATGAATTTGCTGAAGGTGCAATAAGAAATCCTTACTTGTATGTTTAAGCAGGTAAGGAGTGAGGAAAAATACTTTCGGTATTGAATAATATTCATGCTATACAGTAAAGTGACAAAATAGGGAAGAATTTAAAGTACTTGACTGTAAATTAGTGTCTGAATGATAAAGTGATCGTAAAGAGACCTAATGGGTCAAAGCTAGATCTCTCATGGGTGCGCATTGCTGAGGATTCTCATATACTGACGAAACAGCTACCTAGTGACCCGAAGGTTTTAACGTTTTTAAACCACCTTGAGACCAGTCAGTCAGTCAGTCAGCAGAGACCGTCGATAGAAGCTGACTTTTACTAATTCACTGAGCTTCCAAGGCTTGAACATGAATATGACAAATTTGAACGGCACCAAGTATTACACAGTGCAAGAGTTTATAAAGCCACTGTTAATTAGAGTAGCCTGTTGTCATCACTGAAACTTGAAGTTCAGCTGATTAAACATGACTGTCTTGGACCCAACTCAGTAGCTCAATGCCAATGCACCCGCTGCAGGACCTCTAGGTCCATGGCTTGACTCCTTATTGAGACTTTGTTACTCACTGTGAGCAGTACTATACTAGAATAAAACATATCCAACGCTGTCAGGTTCTTAATGGTCCACCAAGGGATGTTAGCATCTGACGAATACTACACTGCTATGGGATAATTTAATGCATGATGAAGGAGTTAAGACATTCACCCTCAATATTACTCAGTGAACATAATGCTGTTTGTGTAAAGTCAGCAGATTTCTCAATGCCGTCATTTGACCTGGATGAATGAACGTTAACCACCTCACTGTTTATTAGTTTAGAAGTAGTTTACGTCAGGCGTAAGAATCTCTAATTCTCCTTGTTGTTTAATTTAGCAGAAATGAGGAGAGTAAGATAATGAGAATTCCTTTCGGGATAAGGTTAACAGCTAACATTAGCAAGTGCTACTGTCACGAAATCACATGAAATATGAGTATACCAATTAAAAGAAGAAAATATGAGTAATTGTTTCTCAATTTGGTTGAAAACTCTGCAACAGAATAATCAAGAATTACTATGATAAACAGTTAAGCTTACAAAAGCACACAAAGCATTCAAGTTATTAACCTGACCAACAGAACTGACAGGACATTGTTTCTTCACTCTGTTGTTGTAATATGAATGATATGATTTTACTTATTGTTGTGTCATGTATCTTGAGTAAGATTGTGAATTGAAATCAGTGTAAGTAAGATCAACCGATAGTAACATGATACAAGTTTTCATGGTAGTTGGGAAAAACTCTCGGTGATTGAACTGAAATGAAAATTTGGTCAGCAATTGGGCCTTGTAGCTCAGTTGGTAGAGCACTGGGCCGGAAACCTAGTGGCAGCTGGTTCAAATCCCACCGTGGTTCAAATTTCCACTTCACCTTCAATCATCATTCAATATCAGTTATCAGTTAAACATTCTTTCAAGATTTATCTTATAAGACTGAAGCTTCTAGGAGGATGGAGATTACATTCTAACTGAATCATCTTTATAACTAAAGCGCTTCGTGTATGCTTACAAAAAATGATACTGTTATCATTAACGATGGGATAAAACCCCAAAAACAGCTGATTCACTAATTATTGAAGGTTCTGGTAACCTTTGTAAATAATGCTTTCTATGACATCTTTATAAGTAGTTTTCATCACATTATGATGTCAACTGGATTACAACTTCCCTCATCACTGATGTGCTTCTGGTTGAGCGTTTTGAAGCTGTTATGAGTTCATGACCTTTGTGGTCAGGAGTGTGGATGGCTACTCACCGCTGTCATTGATTCATGGTCACAGTATATCATAAATTGACAGAAGTTATAAAAGTGGACGACTAACTTTCATTTCACTAGAATCATTGTCATATGTTAGTCACTCGACTTAACAGCTTTGGTCTTGATCCCCCTCGAAATCATGATTAACCACCGGTGAGGAGTTAATACCAGGATAAATATCTGTTCAACGCTCCAGTGTTTTCACTTCTTATTCAGCTGACATCAGCCCACGATAACAATTACAAGTTTTTTCAGAATTAGATTTCTCGATTCGATGTAACAATATGAAGACACCACATGCCAAGTAATTAACAATAGAAAGCTCAGTGATGCCTTTGAAGTGAAAACAGGAGTAAGACAAGGCTGCCACCTATTATCACAGATCACCTCCTGATTGTCGCCAACTGCATCATGCAGCAAACATTGAGGAGTGAGAAGATGGGTATATGCTGTTTGATCGATGAAAAGAGACTAGTAGATTTGGATCTCATTCATGATTATTTATGTAAAATGTTGCACAAATTCGAAGATGTGCAGACAAAAACTACAAGTCGACAGAAGAGGCAAGGCAGCGAAGACGCGACTTCTAGTGAACGTAGAGAAGACAGAAGTGATGACGATACACAACCAACCCCACCACCAACAACAACAAGCTCCAATCACCATCAACGGAGAAACTTAAAGGAAGTTGTTCCTTTCACCTGTCTACGCAGCACTGTTTCAACCACAGATGGCACAGACACAAACGAGGATGTCAAATCCAGTCAGGATCCGAAAAGTAAGATAGGCTTTCAACAATCTGAAATCAGTAGGGAGATCTTCTGCACTCAGCACAGAGTGTGAACAAGATGCTAATTTTCAACACTAACGTCAGTCTACTCAGTGCTTCTATGTGATGGTCGAGAGACTTGGCAGCGTGTCACGAAAAGCATTTCCAACAAACTACAGACATTCATCAACAGCTGGCGACTACGCTCACTCAATACTAAATATGAAGATCAGATGGCTAGAAAGAATAAGCAACAAGGAACTCTGGCAATGAATCAACCAAGAAGTTTCGGTCAACAAATATGCAGAAGTAAGTGGAGAGGAGTGGATTGGACATGCACTGAGATGACCACTTGGAAACATCATGCGTCTGGCCCCTGAGTGGAAACCAGATAGGAGACGGCTAGTTGGGTGTTCGAGTCGAGGGTGACATGTAGGAGATGGTATGAAGAAGAAATGAGAGGTTGTGGGCAGTCGTGGAGCTAGGTTCAAAAGACTGCAGAGAACATAGTGGAATGGAGATGTGCTACTGAAGCCCTATGTTCCACTAGGAACCCAAGGGACAAATAATAAAATAATGTAAAAAACAATATGTTTTGTAAATGAATTGTGGAGATTTGTATCTATGCAGATTCCTTGAACACATTCATGAGATTTCATGCAATAGAACTTGGAAGTCAACTTTTATTCATTTTTGTTGTAACTCTTCATGCAAAGCAGGTTGAAAAGTGTCAACACTTCAGAATTCTTGAGATATAAATCAACTGATAATCCAAGAAACTCAATCTCAAAGATGGGAATTATGCCAAACAGGCACTTCATTAAGATAAGAATCAAGATCAAATGTAAACCAGGTTTTAGTGTAGTCACAGACGACTACTGAAATCCAGTTCCTAAGCAAATATATTCACTATATATTAGAAATGTAAACAGCTCAATGATTTGCCTAGTCTAGGATGAGGTTTATTAAATTTGTGTGCCACACTGGGTTCACTAAGGTAAGATTTTGTTAAAAAGTAGTTAAATATCCATCATTAAGGTAATTACCTCACTGTATACAACATTGTGCAAGAAAACAATGACAGATGAAAACATCAGTACCACTGTCAGTTCATTTAATAAAGAAGTTTCTAATTCGGCTAATTTCTAAAATTTTCATTTCATTATGGCTTATTTTCGGAAACTGATTGACTTATCAATCAGAAATTAATCCCACAATGATATTTTCCTTTTTTTCGTCTTCACAATGAACGGTTCTGGTTAAATGGGTGATTATTTCTTGACTAGTTAACTAATTGTACATTTCACATTGATATTTATCACCCCAAAGATGTTTTCAAACGCTAAAAATACTGATCAAAATGTCTGTCATTGGAAATCATTTAGCCACTATCATTACCTGCTATCTTTGATACAGAAGTGTAACAAAATATACTTCTACAGTTCAAATCTGATATTTATAAACCAATTATAGTGCTTCATACATGTCTCTAGTCATATAAGGATAGTTTACATAGATGACTGATGTCTGATTTGTTTTGAGTGAAGCTAATCACAGATGTACATTATTGGATTAAGCTCATAGAACAGATGAATTGTTCCCATTTATATGGATCTGGTTATCTGGTCTAAATAAACCAGTATCTTTTGTAAGGGATTCTCACCTTATAAATGCTAGTCCAGATTTATATAAATATATATAAGTAGTTTCCTAATCTAAACTGATTCATCATTGAAGACTGACCAGAATCATAATGTTTAGTTCTGAATGCATACCAAATTCTTTTGATTACTTTACGATATAAACTTCGACAATACAAGAACAAGAAATCAAATACGACAATACGAGTTCATTTTTATTGTCTCGAAGATTCCTCTCAATCGCTTACAAGGTAAATATCATCAAAATGTAAACATTACAAAAAATTGGATGTACTTTTATCAAGTCGACAAGAAGTTGTTGAACGGATCAGTCAGTGACGTAGATTATGAACATTTAAAGTGAAGATCGTTAGGCACGCTAAAGAAAGAATAACTATTTATAGACTTATCAGGTGAATATTTCTGAAATAAAAGGTTAAGAGATGAGTAACTGCTTTGTATCACCGTAATTCATGCTAATTTTCGGTTACAAGGAAAATTTCTTGTCAACTTGATAAATATTCAGTGTTTTATACTGTCTACATATGGATAATTAGTAGGGGTGTATGCAGTTGGGAGAAATCTCTGAAATAATGAAAACTAATCACGTATTATCCTGTTCCGTTCAGAGGTATCAAAGGATACAATTGCATGAAATTTAGCTATGTGGTCACTAAGCTTTGAGTTACCGTCAGAAAATTTTGGATAAATCAAAGACTAATACAACATACATATTGCTATCACAGGAGTAAAGTTAATTCACTCATAGATGAGGTACCGATAAACAATTTTTTATCTTACTGGAATAGCGTTTAAATTGCTGCAAAGTAGTCAAGAAATAACTTTGAATTTATTCAGATGTAGTTTTGATAGAGACTTCTAGGAATGGTAATAGCAAACTGTGACTGTCTAGTAGGAAGAGACCACATATATCTTCTAGGAAATGCCTTTTTTATGCTTGATGATGAGCTAATATAATCTTTGAAATGCAAATCTCTGGAGTGAAACCATTCGACTGGGTTATAAGGTTTTTTTCATGAGCCTAACAATTTATTCATGGTTCCTACATAAATATCTTTGAGAACATATTTACGAGTCTGCATTCCAGGACGAAGAATTTACTTAGCGACACCCGGTTTCCATTTTTGATATAATTATCTACACAGAACAAGTTTTGAAAGGAATTTCATTGTTTTGCAGGATCCTAGAATCCCATCCTTTTACTTTCAAAGGAGAAATGCATTTTAACGTCAGAGCCTTAGTAGACACCGAGTACATAGCTAAATTCGACCAAACATCTAAGCTGGTCGATATCCAGGGAGTAAAATATTCAATCCACTTAATAGAAGTCACAAAATCTAGGCGATAATGACCTATACATTAAGTGCAAAAGCGTTTATTCCTCAAATTCATATTATAGTACCAACTGGATCTGCATTATTGTACATTATCGCTAACATTATTTTTTTACTCGGAGAGTTTCATAACATTTCACTTTCCTTAACTAAAGTCTTGATCATCAATACTCACTCGCTCGGATATCTGAGTTTGTTCCCTTCCTTTATCAAGTCAGAACTTCTATAGTGTGAAATCATAAGTAAACCTAAATTCTGGTTATTGTTTGTCTTTACATCCTTGTTACCAGCTGCTGTACTGTACATTTTCAAGTTAGTATATACTTCAGATAGTGGAATTACATCATTAACTGTACTGTTACTGTTATTAATAACAGTCAAGGTTGTGTATACGTCATAAGAAGCCTTGTCTTTTACTTGATTTAACTTTCACGTTCTTCTTAATGATTACAAGATTTAAACGTAAGACAGGGTTTATACTGCTTAAAACAAACAAACGTTTAGTCAGAATATCAGCTGAAAGAGGAAGAAGAATAAATACATATTTTCTATGAAGTGGATCAGTTAAATTTATCACACCAGAAAGCATGAAATAAAGAAAGAGTGGATATAAAGAATGATATTTGAAAGAAAAGTGTATGACAGGTGAAATAATAAGGTGAGATTGACTCTTACCATCTCCTAACCCGAATCTCATTGCCTTAGGATCCGTAAATGATTCATACCAACAGTTAGCAGCTTGATAAACTTGGCTACCTTCAGTTTCCTATCAATCTGATTCTACTTCGGATAGCACTACCTGTTGAGAACGATAGCAAGTCAAGGTAAGCAGTGTATATCCAAACGATCACAGTCATTGAAGATTCAAAGACCGGCTAGTACGTCCCGGAAAGCTAGCTAAGTTTAACACTGGTATCCTTGAATTTATGGACATATTATATGCCGGTGATGTTATGAAAACGGTGATAGTCAAAATCCTGAGGCCTCTCCATGTCTTCTACTTTCAACTATACAACAGAACAGAGTAGGGGGGTGAGTACTATATCCAACCTTTAATGTTCGGTCAAGTTTTTATCTCGGGCAAGAATTCTGGCAACCTTGAACCTACATCAATAATCATTTTCATCACAGACAAGAAATAATCAAAGTAATCGAGCTTCAAAAGCTAGGGTCGACAAAATCGCCCATCCCATATTTTCTGTATGGTACTAACAAATATCAAAAACGTCTAGGTTATCTCGTTTACGGGAAATTCAATCTTGTGATTTTTTTAGTCAAAAATTAAATTGAATTTCAAATGAATTGTAAAGTATGGGGTTCATATGTCATGGAGTTGTCTTCTGTAAGTCGTTTGTTTTAACCAGTTATCCTGAATGAAAATCAGTGTCAAACACGACTACTGATAAGCATAACCACAAAAATGGACCTCTAAAAGTAAAATTCTGAACATGTTTTTACTCTATAACCCAAAGGAATGAAATACATAGTATGTTTAAAGAAGTTCCTAATACATTTCACCAGAAAATTAGTTCAGAGATAACAAAGATAACAATTTTGTATGTTGTCCAACGAAAACATATGAAAGATACGCGAAATAAAGGTATTCCGTGAAGTTTACGCTTTCATAATATCGTGTATAGGCAACTCGTCGATAGCTAAAAGGTTGCCGGTTGATATCACTAACAAACTGGTGATATGATCTTCCCACATTCAAGATATGAAAGTCAACAAAACCACAGTTGAATTACCTTCACTTTGACCTGCATCTTTACTTGTTCCGGGTACTGAAGAACCGATAGATTCCGAACCTTCAGGCTTAGAAGGTCTTCCTAAAAATCAAAAATTTATGCATTGAGAAGTTATAATTATCAATTATTTTAATTTGGGTGTTTGCTTTAAGGACAGATTCAGTAGTGATTATTCTGATATACTATTACCATAGTTACATCTTATGTTTCATGCTAGAAAGTCTTTGTTAGGCATTATTGCGTTGCACGTTATGTATTAGTAAGTTTTATGTTGATCGCTATCGACACATGTCACAAATAATACCACTTACGAAGTTGACATAAACATTCATATTGAACGCAGGATTAAACTCTATAAGACTGAATCCAAACATTTTACACTGCATGCTGCTGAAGGTTATTTTCCTCAATAAAGAATGTTTTCAACTAGGATTATATTTAGAGGGTCTTAATAGAATGTCTGTATGCTGAATACGACGCTTAGATGATACCAGAATTCTGTAAACTAAATCCCTCTTATAAAAACTATGATAAATAATTGATGTCCATAATACAGTATACTTTGTAGAATATTATTCATATCTCAAGTTGGTATTCATCAGGGACTGACGTCACTCGCAGAATCATAGAAAACCTAGTAACTGTAGTAAGGGGTTCTTCCTGTGCTTCTAATAAAGTAGACCTATCCACTTGCAAGAATTTCTTTGACAAGATATACATTACTGACAGTAATAAGTAGCTAACGGTAAGATGTATAAGAAAAAACAATTTCAATTCAAAATTGTGTTTTAGTGTTATTGCTTGTATTACACCGTCGTTGATAGGACCGAATTGATCAGCCTCTGTTGGCATATGGGCTCCTATGCGGATGCCTCGATATGGCCTGTCTTTTTAACTATGTTTAGTAATGAAGGGCAGTGGGTAGCAGTGGAATCCAGGATGCACATTTCATCCTATTTGGGACTCCTCAGCTGGATGTACCTGCTTCTCAGTGAGTGACGTTGTTCCCATCCTGGATTCCACTACTAGCCACTGCCCATCATTACTAATCATAATTGTATGGTTAAAAAACCTTTACTCTCCAGGTTTTGAATGATCTTCATTGCAAGCGGTAAAAAAACATTTGTTGCTGAGATGACACACACTCAATTTAAAGATGCCACTAATGATTGTTAATGGCCTCTGCCATCAGTATGATCATAAGAAATACTTGCTGAGAAAAATTTGTCAGCTGCAGATATGCCTATAAAACGTATGAATCGAAGAAAATCAATAATCTTCTCATTATATTTGCGTGAACAAAATTAAGTACATGGAAGAAAGAACTGTTATATGATACAAGTTTATTCAGAATAAGTTTTCTCTATTCGATGTAGCATATATGAAGACGCCACATGCCAAGTAATTAACAATGTAAAGCTCAGTGATGCCTTTGAAGTGAAAACAGGAGTAAAACAAGGCTGCCACCTATTATCACAGATCACCCTCCTGATTGTCGCCAACTGCATCATGCAGCAAACATTGAGGAGTGAGAAGATGAGTATATGCTGTTTGATCGATGGAAAGAGACTAGAAGATTTGGATCTCACTCATGATTATTTATGTCAAATGTCGCACAAACTCGAAAATGTGCAGACAAAACTAACAAGTTGACAGAAGAGGCAAGGCAGCGAAGACGGGACTTCAGGTGAACGTAGAGAAGACAGAGGTGATGACGATACACAACCAACCCCACCACCAACAACAACAAGGTCCAATCACCATGAACAGTAGAAACTTAAAGGAAGTTGTTCCTTTCACTTATCTAGGCAGCACTGTTTCAACCAAAGACGGCACAGACACAAACGAGGATATCAAATCCAGTCAGGATCCGAAAACTAAGATAGGCTTTCTATAATCTGAAATCAGTGGGAAGATCTTCTGCACTCAGCACAGAGTGTGAACAAGATGCTAATTTTCAACACTAACGTCAGTCTACTCAGTGCTTCTATGTGATGGTCGAGAGACTTGGCGGCGTATCACGAAAAGCATTTCCAACAAACTACAGACATTCATCAACAGCTGGCGACTACTCTCACTCAATACTAAATATGAAGATCAGATGGCTAGAAGGAATAAGCAAAGATGAATTATGGCTGGCTGGTTGGCTTGCTGGCTGGCTGGCAACGAACCAACCAACAACCCATCTCCCAACAAATATGCAGAAGTAAGTGGAGATGGAGTGGATTGGATCGTGCATACACTGAGAAGACCGTTTGTGGAGATCAGGTGTCAGACCAGGCCGTCGACTGGAATTTACTGTTTATTATAGTCCTACAAGTAGTTTTTGATGACCCTGATTTGACCCTCCGGCCTTTATCGCCTTGTGACTTTATGGACCGATATCGTATTAACCCAACCACTGATGAATATATATATATATATATATATTGTTGCAAGTATGATTACGATTGTATAGCTTTTGAAAATGATTCATCGAAAAGAAAATTTCTTTCGCTGAATTGTCTTTTATTGAATATAAATAACTCCACAATACTGGGAATTGCTCTGAAGCAGAGTATTCCTTGAGGACTTAACTGTTCAAACTACGCACACCAACCTATCCGCAACGATTATTTGCTACCATGGTTCAGTTAAAATGTTTATTCTCTGAGTTTCTTTATGTTAAGAAATTCGTAGGTAAAAAAATTACTGAAACAATCTGTGCTCCCAAGTATATAGTTGTTGTTCTTCTTTTCTACCATTTTTCTAAGACGACCGTAAACAGACAGTACTTGTTGAGAAGGTGAGAAACATCAACACCGTTAAAAGACAGACTAAAGATAACAATTATCGTATTTTATTAATGGTGGATTGTGGTCAACAGTGGAATCCAGGATGCGCGTGTCATCCAGTTTGGAACTCGTTAACTGGATGTACCTACCTCCCAGTGAGCGGTGTTGTTTCCACTAGGACTTGGACTCAAGACTGATCACTTCAAACACCAGAACGTTATCCACTAGAACACCAAGTGACGACAGCCACTTCTCGTGTGGCGTGTATAGTTTTTATGTTATTGCTTGTATCATCTCGCTGTTGAGTGAACCAAACTAATTGGGATAATACAAGCTACAACATTAAAACTATACACGTTATGCGAGAAATGGCTGCCGTGATTCCATGGTCTAGTGGACTATGTTTTTGGCTTTTAAGGCGATCGGTCCTGAGTTTAAGTCCCAGTGAGAACAGTAGCGCTCACTGGGAGGCAGGTACATCCAGCTTGTGAGTGACAAATAGGACGAAATAAGCATCTTGGACTCCAGTACTAGACACTGTTAATCATTAATATATTGTTCAAAGACAGGCGACATGGAAGCATCCATTCAGCAGTCAACAGAAACCATTCATTTCGCTCCACTCAGCGATGAGATAATACAAGCAACAACATTGTTATATTTTGTCTCGATTCTTATCTCTGTGACTGATGCAATCTTCAAATACAAAATTTAACTGCCATTGAGAATCAAACTGATATAAACCAGCTTCTTTAGGTACATATGGCATTTTGTTGACTAACCATTATTCTTTTCAGTTGAATATTTTTGAAGAAAAGTTCCCCACACAAATGTATTATTTCAGGGAAGTAGAATAAGATGTGTACGCTACATTTCAGGAGAATACCTATTGATCTGTAAATTTTTCATTACATCTTTAAGTCCCAGTCAACCGATTTCAATAGAGAAGTCGTTTCATAACTTTTATATTGATGATAAATGACAGTCTACATCGATTAATCTGAAGATAATGGTTTTGAATAGTTGAAATGTAATTATTATGCAATAATGTTTCAGACATCTAAACCTTACTCAAGGATAGTTTTATTAACTTTGAATTTTGTGTCTTAGATATTGTAGCTTGTTTTCTATCATTTATCATATAGCTGAAGCAATAAATTTCAGTGACGTAACTATTTTCCTGATCAAATGTAGTTTCGAACATGGTTTAATAAGCGTGTTGAACTTAGAAGCGAAGTATCGTCCTACATGTTATGGGGGTTTTATAGATAAGCGAACAGTCATCGTTTGTAGTTTGTTGACTATTTAAAAATATGGTGAAAACGACATATTCTTCCAAATTTGTTGTTTTGTCTTCGTTCAGTTGTATGCCAAAATTCTCATACAGTGAAATTTATGCATTGTATTCCCAAATCTAACCTATACGTGATCATTTAATAGTTTGCAATATTCATCAGACTACTTGAACCAAACAATATCTCATATTAGGATAGGAAACTTAGGAGATCTCACAAATTTACTACACTTACTGCTAGGTTTCAACTGTATCCATTGCTCTGAATCATTGTCTGTATAATCAGTATGACTGTTATGATCAATATTTGATCTAATAGGTTTAACAAGATCAGATAAATTATTTAGTGTTTGACAATCACTGTGAGCGCATGTCAAGGATGGACTTGATGGACAACTGATCATTTGACGACGAGGAAGACTTTTGTAAAACCATGCACCAGAACGTTTCCAGATCTAAATAAATAAAGCAAAGAAGTAACTGTAGAAAGAGATACAAATTGTTTATCATCATTTACTTTTATCACTTTAATTCAATGAAAAACTACATGTTGCTAACTGCTTGCAAACTTTTAACGATCTTAGTTACACAAAAGTCTTAGATGGATAGACAAAGCAAGGTTTGGGGCATTTATTCAACTAACAGCAAATGGAATCGATTAAATATATGAAAAACTGATCAGGAAGAGGACAAAATAGGAATACGTTAATATGTATCCACTGTATTCATGTAGTTTTCTTCAGCTGTCATCAAGAAGAAAATGAATACTTACGCACTTTCATCAACTTCTAAGATAAAAACTGAATGACGCATGCAATGCACCAATATTTATTATTATTATTTGTACCTTCAGTTCCTAGTGGAACATAGGGCTTCAGAAGTACGTCACTATTTCACTCTCCTTTCTCCAGTCTTTTCAACCTGGTTCCACCACTGCTCACAAGACTTCATTTCTTCTTCACACGATCTCCTCCATGTCATCCTCACACACACAACTCGTCGTTTCCTATTTGGATTCCAGTTGACTGCCTGGTCTGACACCTGATCTCCATAAACGGTCTCCTCAGTCTATGTACAATCCAATCCACTCCATCTCCACTTACTTCTGCATATTTGTTGGGAGATGGATAGTTGGTTGGTCCGTTGCCAGCCAGCCATAATTCATCTTTGCTTATTCCTTCTAGCCATCTGATCTTCATATTTAGTATTGAGTGAGAGTAGTCGCCAGCTGTTGATGAATGTCTGTAGTTTGTTGGAAATGCTTTTCGTGATACGCCGCCAAGTCTCTCGACCATCACATAGAAGCACTGAGTAGACTGACGTTAGTGTTGAAAATTAGCATCTTGTTCACACTCTGTGCTGAGTGCAGAAGATCTTCCCACTGATTTCAGATTATAGAAAGCCTATCTTAGTTTTCGGATCCTGACTGGATTTGACATCCTCGTTTGTGTCTGTGCCGTCTTTGGTTGAAACAGTGCTGCCTAGATAGACGATAGAGACTACCTCCTCTAAGTTTCTCCCGTTCATGGTGATTGGAAGGGACTAACGTAATGTTATGGAATTCAGAAAGCTGCATACAAATGGTTGGAAGAATGTGTTGAAAGTTGTTCATTTTTCCGATGAACTGTTGAGTATTTTGATGATGAGGAAGACATACATAAATTAGGTAGTTTGGAATCCTATTTGATGATGAAAATAAATATCACTGGTTACCTGGACATCTCGGCTGGAATTGGTGTAAATAACAATTTATTAAGTTGAAGCAACTGAAAACTACATCACATTACTGGAATATTAATAGTTTTTATTTTGGCCTTCTTAATGTATAGATTTGATTTCAGTCCAGTACTTGGAAGAAGCAAGCAAAAAGCAGTTGATCTACTGACTAGTCTTTTTCAAATACTTATGTTGTATGACATTATATTGGTGCTGAACAAGCATGGTAATTCTGCACTGATCAATCCACAATTCTCTAGAACATGCCTTAAAGTGCATGTGAGGACTCTTCTCTTACCGTATTATCCATCGTCTATCCTCCAATTTACGGACAACTTGTTACGAAAGGGGAACTTGTTAAATATTGAATGCTATGGAGGCGTTTTAGATTGTACAACAAAACAACTTCAGAATCTGATACCCATTTATAAACATAGCATTTCGTCCGTAAACAAAGCTGCACCATTCTTGCGAAGGCAAAAAATAGGCTTCTTCTTATCCTTGTCACAATTAACGTTCTTCCGGAATAACTAACAATTCCCCATAAGCAATTAATGTTAATGAAGCATTTTCAGCAAAAGTAAAGTATTATTTTACCTTCTTCTCTCACAATAGACTTCCTCTTCTAGTAAAAAAAAGTATACATGGCAACGATGTTTTATGGCATGTCAATGAAAAGGTGTTAAAATGTAAGGTAATTCTGCTCATATGCTATTTTATGATTCCAATACTTTTATAGCACTTACCATTAAAATGTTTTTCTTTTTTCTCATGCTAAGATGATATTTGCTGAAACATCATAGAATAGAAATGTATTCATATCTTCCACTAAAATAATTTGTGTTTTTTAACTTCCGTCCTCATATAAGCTTGTTCAGTGTGGTTTATGAGAATGTTAGCTAAAATCAAGTCCAGAGAATTCTATCATGAGAATTATGCCCACTTATAGATACAAGATATCATAGAAATTTAATTATAAATCTTTTAGTTAGATGATCAAAAGTTGCGGTATTTTTTTAAAGAAAAATAACGATTCCTGTCATAGCTTAAAACATTTATTGTTTGTTATTTAGAAGCGTGTGTAGAAGAAAATGATACATCTGATATTAAAACAAATTATAATTTTCAACTCACATGTAACATTAATTTCATAGTATACAGGTAGCCAGTGGTATTTATTTCTATCTCAAAATGGGTTTCCTTTCTATCTAATTCAAGTCTATCTTTCTCATCTTCAAAATATTCATCCACTTATCGTGTAGATGAATAGCCTTTCAATGATCCTTCCAACCTGCTGTATCCCATCTTCTTAAGTTTTTTAATTTATCATGAAGGTGGATAGCATCGATAAATATTTCTTTTCATTTGAAGTTGATTAAAGTGTGTAAATATTCATTTTCATCATATTAGTAATTGATGAAAACTATTTGAATATAATGGTTTGATATTATCCCATCCTCATTTTTGAAAATTCATTTTGAACCTTATACCTTCAATTGAGACATAGATTGAATGTTTATCATCAATTTGCTGAGGGGTTTTCAATATACCATAAATGCAATAAATGCTTGCTAACTACCTTTTCAGTTACAACAGGTCGGAAATCACACAAACTGTTAACTATGGCTGAAAGATATATGCTTCATTGTTGTCGTTTTTATCTTTAACTCCCTTTCATAAAAGTGCATTTGTTTTTTCTCCTAATGAGACAAAAAGAATCAACTGACTAGTAAGCTTAGTACCATAAAAAAGGGTGATTAGTTTATCACAATGAGTACCCAGTTTTGTGTTCTCTCATTCTTGGTGTTCTGGCATAGATGTTCCATCATCAGGCTTGGTGACACCGTCAGCAGTGACTTCATGAAGTAGAAATCAACATAACCAGGGACTCAACAGGGACCAATTAACTCCGTCGAGGGCAGTCAGCTCACTTGAAGTATGCAGAAGGTATTGCCATGTTAGGCAAATAGGTTGTTGGACATAAATCTGAGTATGTCTGACACGCGTTTCGAGTATGTTGAGTGTAAACTGATGCTCTATGACTGGCCTGAATCTACCCGTAATCTACTGATAGGGAGTGAAGTGGCATAATGTGTCCTACTGCTTGAAGGGTTTCATCAACCCAAACAAGCTGGTTGTTGAAGAAGTATCAGCGAAGATAAAGAGTTCCATATCAGATTTGTTTATTTGATTTAAAACACACAGTCATCTAGTATTACTTACTTGATGACGTTTCGAGCGTAAATTATTACTGCTCATAATCATATGACATCAATATGATTACGAGCAATAATTTATGCTCGAAACGTCATCTAGTAAATAATACTAGATGACTGTGTGTTATAAATCAAATAAACAAATCTAATATGGAATTAATTTCCACCACAGTGCCCAAGTTTTACACCTATATTAAGACAAAAAGGATCATTTAGTACTTTCCAACCAGCATCATCTCTGGCACCAAGTGGTAAGATGTCTGACTAACTGTAAAAGGACGAGGAGATTGCGCTGCAGTCCGTTCCGTCCTGTTGTACAGCTGACTCATGGTTGTTGAAAGTATAAGATAAGAAGGGATTACAGGCTTTTGAACGTAGAAGCCTTTGTATCATTTCTCGTATATGATGAAATCAGCATGTTATTAGTATCGTAATTAGGTGAAAGGTACTAGGGAGGGCATAAAAGTTGGTCGATGAGGTGATGAAACTTTAGTATTTGAGGTGGCTGTGACACGTGTTGCACACACTAAACCGTCACCTTCTTTGACGTCCAATACTAGGCTACGTCTTATTAAGTCGGGATAAAGTTTAGGGTGACCAGGCAACGATAAGAGGCCACGCACTACCTAGCTTACGTGCATGCTGACATTCGCTAACATGGCCTATTTGCAACCTTGACCGAATAAGTGCACCTTTTGATATTCAAACCTGCACCAACCAGTGCTGCAGTCTGCGACGCTACCACTGAGCTCTTCAGAACCCGACTGACCTCCTGCAGAACTGGTTTATGTGCAATAACTGGGTACTGTAGAGCAGATATTTTCATGCTGTCCAGTCCTGATTACCACCCGAATTCTATCGATCATTTTGCAATGTGCTCGCCAAGCTAAGAGGGCCACTATCGTAATGCCCTTCGGTGGAAGTCAGGTGGTTGTAGGTAATCGACAGGAAACTCCGACTGACCTGGGTTTCTAACTTTTTGGCACTCCTCAGAAGGGCGTATCCGCAACCTCAAAACAAGTCATATTCCCCAGAGACTAGAAGCCCAGCTAGGATAGCTCAGCGATGACGTTATTGATTGCGAAACTAAGTGGTATGGGTTTGAATTTCACAGGTGACATAAGTTCTATCGTTTTTGCGGATATGCTGTACCGACAAGTGCCAACAAGTATGGAGCCTAAATAAGGTAGACTTTCTTACATACTGCAACCAGTCAACCAATATCCGCCACAGTTCAGTGGGATAGTAGGCCTCATAACTTGGCGGTTACGTTGGAAAATGGCCCATAGGATTCGACCAACATTCAGAAACAGACAGTAAGGAATTGGTTACTCTCCAGTGGCTGGTCATTGTAGTGCTTTAGTGGTTCATTTACAACACAATTAATTTTCCATGAAGGGATTTACTACTAGATTTCGTTGAGTGAAACACGAGGAAAAGCAAAAAGGTAATCCGTTTCATATTCAGAAACTTTATAAATAAGTGATAGCAGGAACTGTAAAATATTCTAATATACGTAAGTAAAACTGAGTTTGGAAACAAGTGAAAATACGATTAGCCAAAACTTACTTCTCTGGCCTCATAGCATATTTTACAGACGAAGGAGTGACTGTCACTTTGACGTGAATTCGTTTTAACTCTGACTTTTTCAAATAACTGTTGACTGTGGAAAGCGGCTGAGTTTAAGGTACCAATTAGGCTCCCTCGACGATTTGAAAATTTATTATTACTTGTGTTTGAAGATGCTGGCAGATTTGTTGTGTTATTTTGAGTTGTGCCTCCATTTGTTTGACTTTTATTGATTGTAGCATAGGTCTGATGTTTTGGTGTATTCATCAGACTGCCACTTACATGCGTATTTACCATCCATTGAAAATTGAGCAGTGAATTACGTTTTGTTACTGGTTGTCTATACAAGGTTGGGATAGTCAATTCTATACAACATGCTGTGCATACACATCGGCCACATTCTACACAAACAATTGGTAAATTACTCAAATGGCCAAATTCTTTCCGACATAATGAACACTCTTCGTTTGTTTTAGCACCTGATGTTTGTTTTAAACGATCAAGTTTCTGTAACATCGCTCTACAATGAAGATAATAAGGGCATCATCAAGGTTGTTAACAAGTTGAAATCTAAAGAAAACTTAGATAATATCTTTAATAAATGTAAGCGCTACTTAATCTCTCTAAAAAAAAGTTAACGCATTGAAGTGGTTGTAATTTTTTACTGTGTAGGTGATGATAAAATGATGATAAAATTTATAAACAGAAAGTATTCAATCTAATTCTGGCCACCGTCAGTTCATATGATTTGAATGCTATCTTAGATTTCATAGAACGTTCAATACTTTAATGCCTCTAGTGAATTGAATTTAGAGACAACTGAGTGGGATACGCTAACAATCCATCTAACTTTTTGTTGATACTCACTTAAAATAGCATAAACGTGGGTGTTGATTCTAATTTTTGTGAAAAGATAGAACTCTCTTCACTATTTCGTTTGCATACTTACAGTTTTGTTTATCATCTTGTTTTTATCTGTCAAAAACAACATATTCAACTAAATATGTTACAAAGATCTTTCGATGATTGGACACAATAGGGATAAGGATATTTTTGATACAATTAAAAACATGATTTTTTTTTGATACTTCACTTTTTCAACATTCCTCAGATAATTCAGTAATTGTAAAGAAGTGTCAAGTAGTGATACTTTCTACCGCAAAATGAAACTTAATTTTCAATTTTGGAATAAATATAATGGTTAAATTCTCAAACATTTGGGAAAAATCACTTCTATATTGTTATAATTATCTGTGATTACATTTTTCAACACTTTACAAAGAAGTTTAATAAATAATGATGCTAAGAAGCTGTCAACAACTTCACTGGAACCCTAAATGACTGAAGTGGAATTGAGACTGACTAACTAACTAACTAACTAAGCCGTTCGGTCTCGTAATTTATTACTAGATTGATAAATCGGTTTAACTATAAACAAAAAAGTGATTTACTCTGTCATCAATGTTTAATGGATTGAATTAATGTATTATAAGTGCATTTTTACCCAAAACGTTTACGCAATGATATTTTTTTGTTTTGGTTAATATTTCGAGTAAAATTACTGCTCGTGATCATACTAACAGTTGGAATTTTTTTAGCAATATTTGTTCACACATTTACTACTAGTAGGTGTCATATACATAGTCTTTCCTCATTACTCGTTAGTCAATTTATTCAACACGCTGTTTCAAATGGTTGATAATTGTGTTGGTTCATATTAGATATTCATATTAGTGATATAGTATTATTTACTTGATGACGATGTTTCGAGTATAAATTATCATTCTTCATAATCATATCATTGTAATCGCACAATCTTTGACATCTGATTTTTATAGTTCTGTCACCTCTTATGATTTACTTAATATTGATAGTAAAATTTTCCATATCTCTGGTATGGGCAATACATCACTCCTATTACATATATTGCGTTTTCATCCGATGAACAAGGATTCAGTAATCAATCTCTCTCAAGTTGTTATTCATCGTCGACTGACATCAGTTGGAGAAGCAAAGGAAACCTGGGAGCACTTGACAACTGTTTCGTCCTAGTATGCGCTATATAGTGAGCTACCAGAAGTTGGAAATATGGATCATTGGATTCTGACCCAGTGGCTCAATGGTAACATGCTGAGCTACGCAAACTGAAGGTCACGGGCTCGATCCCCGACGGCGTCTGGGCGCGCACTGCTATACTAGGACTAAACAACTATCCAGTGCTCCCAGGTTTCCTTTGTTCCTCTAACTGATCTCAGTCTACGATGAATAACAACTTGAAATATTTCCAAATCCCTACAACTCCCTCAAAAATCAATCTCTCTATTTCCCTCCACCTAATTATATTCGACTTAAATAACAATGGTTTTATCCCACCGTAATGTGTGGTTGTGTGTTGACGGATGCATTGTAACAGCAGGAGGGTTTACCAAGAATACTGATCCTATTGGGTTTTGTCATTCTATATTTAGCAGAATTCCCATATTCCGTTAATCTAACTGACCCCGACTGGCTAGTTTGACCTATGTACCTGAACTCGCAGTCTTTGCATGGAATTTGATAGATTATATTATTTTGTCTCATTGGTTCTATTGGATCCTTAAGCCTACATTAATGTGTTGATTGACATTTGGTGCATATGTTAGGGGTGACATATACAAATATCTAGCCTGTTACTTAATTTTCTTTCCATTCATTTTGGTTCGTTTGGTAGTGTTGTTCCAAAGTTATGCTTTTCGTTCCAAGCACTAGATGCTTTCGATGATTCTTTTTCCAGCTTCTTATTTTATCCCTCTATGCCCTGACCCTTGGTTAATCTCTGATTTTCATTCAGTCTGGTTTTCAGCGATCTTGATTTTTGTTTTACATAGTCTATTGGGTGGTCTGCGCACGGTATTTTATTCACCACGTCACTGTTGTCCAGGTCGTCGCTGTTAGAAATGTTCTGCAAGAAGTTGAACGCCAAGCCAGGTTTTTAAACGATGTAGGATTTTGAGGTAGTATTTGTCACAGACTGATATCAGTCAGGCAGCCACTGAAAATGTGAGCATGTCACATATCGCACGCTTCCATGAAGTTCTCATGAGAAGCCGTGACCTGTGAGGTCAACCACTAGGAAGGGGAGCGGATGATAACTGAAGACCTTGGGTAAAAGTTGCCCTATATCGTGAATTGACAGAAGCTGGAAACTGTTAACCGTTAAAAACCAACCCAGTGGCTGGATGGTTAACGGATTTGCCACGAAACCTGAAGGTTGTGACTTCGATGCATAGCCGGGTCGAGGGTGTATACTTCTAAGGAGTCCCATAATAGGACGAAACAGCTGTCCAATACTCCTAGATTTTCAGTGTCTCCCCAACTGATATCAGTCCGTGATGAATACTACCTCTTAATGAAAAATCCCAGTTCATCTCAAAAATACTCTGGGACTTTATTGAAACTTACTTACATAAGGATCTTTTAGTTGGTTCAATTTGTTTATTGTCAGATTCCTCGGTTTAAATGGTGTGAAAATACCAGCTTTTCGAAGGTTTCTTCTAATTACCTCTGATGTGCCTTTTTTGTAGGGTAATATCACTGTCTTTTTTAATTATCTTTTTCATTAACTCCTGTCGTGGACGTTTGTTTCTTCTTGATGTTATCTTTTATCGATTTCTCTGGTTAATGATTCTTTAATGATATCTTGAACAAAACATTCATTTCTTTTCGTTGATCATCTGGCGATGTTGTTAGTCTTACTATATTATCTGCCACACCCTGTCTTAACTCCCTTTTTATTGTGCTTAGGCTGGCTGGGTGGTAGTTCAGAAACCTTCCAGAATGCGTTGGTGTTCTATGTAGCGTTGTTTTTAAATAGTCGTCGACTGTTCTTTTGATTTTATACATTATGAAATATTGCCGAAGCGAAAACCTATCATGCTGTGCAAACTTTTCATTCAAAAGTCTACTCAGAATAAATTAATAACAGTTATGTTAGTTTCCTTCACCTAATATATGAAATGATTTATGTGATTAATATTGTGCAGCGAAAGGCACCGAAAATGATAGATATATTGACAACTGAAAATACCCGCTCAGTATATCTTACACAAAAGGTCACTGTAACATCTGTTTCTGATATAGTATAGTGTGTCATTATCACTATTCATTGTAAGGAATCATCATTATCCCAATTTATTGTTCTGTACCAGGAAATTTAACCTTATGCCACACAGAACTAATTGTAGGTACTTGTAAAACGATAATTGTAGCGAGATGTTTTTGTGAGCTATGTATATGATCAGTAGATAATCAGCAGACAGAAATGATCAGTATAGGACATGGAACCACCATATAACAGTAGAAACCACCAAACTCTTATTAGTACATAGAAGTCAAGAGTGATAAAAGGGAAAATTACGAAAAATGAATGTGGATTTACAACAGAAAAATATTTTGATGAAGACAAGATGTGGATGCATGTGCACCACGGGTAATAACAACTACGCACCCTGACTATCGATTTCAGTTACCAAGGTACGTGACATTTCACGATCACTGTAGTGTCACCCAGTGCCTGATTTCGGTTTCAGTTCAACTTTATTTCAGATAAAATTACGCGTTATAGGAGACTGAAGTTAAACTTATCTAGCACATAACTTAGTCATTACTACAAATGAGGGTTCATTACGTCGTAGGATAATGTTTTTTGGCGATTTCAAATACTATCAGGCAAAAATATTTTTTAACTAGGTGGTACTTATTAGATTTTTACTTTCAATTTCAGATTCGCAAACTTTACAAACTCTGATTCTTTGTACTGTGCCAAGTCCAAGACATATAGGTTTGCTTTTACGATATTTAGCTTACGATACTACGCTATCAGTTATTACTTTTTAGTGGAATTATGGGCCACCTATTCTAACACCGGCTACTATTGAGTCCAGTATACTTAAACGAGTTTTTAGAGATAGATGATTAAACTGCTTCTTTCTTAATCGTTCCCTAGCTAAATTCTGTCCTAAATGAAAAACTGTACTCATTAAACCAGTTTCTTATAAACCTTTTTAGATAGGAAATAATTTCACTTAAAAATCTGCATTCTGTGAATTTGTTATAATACATAATCACTCAGAGTCTTGAGTATTTACTTAATAAATAGATATCATGCCAAAATTGATATACACATATTATTTGAATGGTGATAAACTATCTCGGCATTATATTCATCTTGGTGACTAGCAGTGAAATCCATGACGCGCATTTCATCGTATTTGAGACTTGAGTTTTGAATTCCACTACTAGTTACCAAAATGAATATAACATCATAAATATGCTGCAGAATCGAGACAACTTCATAGGAGTCCATCTACCAACAGAGTTTAAATAATTCAGCCCTGTATGAAAACGGGAAATTATAAGTATGAAAATATTATCTTAGTACTATTTTGTAAACAACCCTACATATAATAACACTTCATATGATAGGAATACGAAAAAATCAAGTTCACATTACAATCATAAGTTTTATAATCACCTATCACTTTAAAATCAGAGTTAAATCGAGACTCTTTTTGAAAGGGTTTAAATAAGTAAATAAGAGTCGATTACTATACAACATCTGGACGTAAGATTTAATGTTTCTCAGCTGTATAATTTATCTAGTAAGTGATATATGAAGCGCAGAACTAAAAGTTAACTTTCGCTTACTACTTTTCGCTTCTGAACATTTTTTTTAAATCTAAGGGCTACAAATGTAAACATTAGATGAATATTCAGAACAAATCTTATACACCAAAGAAAGCCTTAGGAAAGCATGTATACGCTTTAGGCGTTATTGGTTGTATTGTGTTCTCTGAGATAGGTTGTTTAATCGTGAAGCTTTCATTGTCTTACTAGATGACATCAGCATTAACTTCAGTATGAAGTGAGCTGTATTTCTGACATTCATCCACTTAGAATATTGTACAGTTTCTATCTTTAGTATGTACTTCTGTTATCTCCTAGTAGATAACGAGTTTATTAGTCCAGTATTTCCATCAAGAAACTTTAGTCGTTTTTGCCAGTTCTGACTGCTGACATCAACACCCCTAAATCTGAACAAGATATCAAATTAGGATGCATTTAACACAGCCAATATATTCAGTATATGGTCTGTCATGAGGTTCTTATACTATGTGAGATCAAATCAACATATATTCAACCTAATATTAGACTAAAGATTGTAGTTCTTCTTTGAATAAGATGAATATATTATTTCTAATCGATTTTCTTTTTTATCTACTTACTTGGCAACGCATGTAATAAGGGATAAACAGTGAAACAAAGTATAAGTATTATACACACTTACTCAACACGAGCCTTCTCATTCTCTGCAAGCATTTCATTACGTTTGAGAACTCGTAAAATTTGTTCTTCTTCATCTGTACTCAATGGTTGACATCGACGACGTTGGGCAGATTGTGCTCTAGATGACCAACCTGTTCCAAGTCTATAAAATTTTTGTAATGTATGGAAAACATTATGACCAGATTTTAAATACCACAGAAAATATTCATGAAGGCATTGATGAAGTTTAATTTCAAAGTCATTTTTTCTTAATTTTAATGGGTGTTATCACAAGCTAAATATTTACAGCATTGTACCAACGAAAAATTAACCCCAATGCTTGAATAAATTGTTCTGCTGATTCACTCCATTTGCTGGTGATTTGTTTTATTGCTGGTTCAAACACCATATTACAGAACGTTTTGTTCAGTGTATAAAGTAGTGATGATGTTGCGTTACATTTTTTCAAAGAATATTTGATTGTTGACAGTTGATCAATTATCAATTGTTATTTTAATCAGCGGGAACTGATTGAAAGGTATTGTGAGCATATACTCCTTTTATATTAATCATCAGTGAAGTAGTCTGTTGAATGAACATTACTGATTTCACTGTTCAGACAGGTAAACAGACAGATCAACGTAGAATGTGATACAGTAAGGTATCATTTTGAATGCCCACACTTCAGAGTAAATTTCAACGAAAGGTAAACAAATAAAGGGTGTTATTGAAGTATTTAAGCGAAGGGAACAAAGGAATGCAAGCTAATGAAAATTGCCGAAATCCCAAGGACGCAAAATAAAAAAATAAGGCTTCCTGATGATTACCGTCAATCAGTTAACATTTGTTTAAGTGCACTGTCATTCAGAATCTCTTAGCTTGGTGGCTACACTTCAAAATGATCGACAGAATTTGATGAGCATTCAGGACTAGACAACATGAAATTGGTTACCATCCAGTGATTAATCCGTGTAAATAGAGACACCTCCACATCATAGTAACTAAATTTTAATTCCTTTCTTCAGTGGTTGCGTATATGTGTGTCATGATGAGTTCATTTGATCAAAAATAATGTAGTCCTTAGAGTTTCTCTGATGTATGGTTTACAACAAATACATTCAGTGTTCCATATTTCGTTCTCGAAAAGGACTGTCACTGATTCAACACAAATCTATTGATTTGGTTTCTTTGACATTGAAGAATCATCTTATAGCAACACTTACAAGCAAGTCAGATCAAGTAGTTCAAATGTATATTAATACCTTAACTTCATATCACACCAAAAGACACAGGTTTATTATTTGTTGGTAGTTGTAACTCATCGCTGTTATGCTAGATCGAACGCTGTTAAGAAATTGGCTCTTATGCGGATGTCACAGTACTGTATGAATATTTGCTGTTGTTGTTCATTGGTCATTGGACGAAACGCTGCTACTGCATCCACTACTAGCCACCATTAATTCAATGGTGACAACAAACAAGGTTTGTTTGCAATCCTCTTATACAAGAGTTCCTCAGTTTACATATACAGTTTGTAATACGTTAAGACTAGGCATCTTTCGTGAGCTTTTTAAAAGGTGAAAACCCTTAATGTTGATATTTGTAATTAAAACTATACCCATCGCACTAGAAGTAGCTATCGTGATTCGGTGGTCTAGTGGATGGCGCTCCAGCGATTGAAGCGATAAGATTGGTTTCAAGTCTTATTAGGAAAAATAACGCATAATGACAGGTAGGTACCTCCAGCTGACGAATCTCGGACAGGACGAAACGCACATCCTAGATTCCACTGCTAGTCACTATCTGCCGCTAATATAGAAGACGAAAGTCTTTCTGGCTGAATAGGAAAGAAAAAAATTTCTTGACAAACTTTAAGTCCATTGTAGTTATAGAAGTCCTATAAGAACTTTACAACCGACTCTGATTGAGCTATTCTAAAAATCAGTTAATATAAAAACTCAGTATGTTTAGAAAACCAAAACGATGGTCTATATGCGGAAATTATTATATACACTATTTGATTATATACGTATATTTAACGTTACACAATAAAAATTCGAATATTGTGCTAAAAAAGCTGTTTAACAAAACGTTGGTTTGATCTTCTAAACATGCTGAGATTATTTTGAAGCATTTATAAAAAAAATACATGTTTTATATATCATCACTGTGACTTTGATCTATTCCCTTAACTTCTAAATTGCTTTTACGCCTGTCATTGCAATTAAGCATATCCTAACAATTAGGTCACGTTGAGAATACAAGTAAATTGACAGAATACGTATTTACGCTAAAGTCTATTTCACCTCAACCTCTTTACATGAAATTCTTGCACAATAAAGTAACCAGATTCCAACTAGTTATTCACAGGGAAAAATGTTTTGTTATTAAGTAGCAGATGTAAAGAGAACATTTTACAATGAATAGGTAGATAGTTCTTTATATGTGGAACTGATGTATTACTTTATTCATGTTGTATTCAGTGATGCGTTGGTTGATATTAAACCTTGAAAGAAAAAACGCTGAATTAAAACTTCTTATTTGAAACCATATAGATAAACAACAGCTTCATGCTGAATAGACAGTGATTTCCATTTGGATTGTAAATTCAAACTAGTGATCTATAGGGTTAGTTGAGTTAAGAATAAGAGTAAATAGGATAACCCTGACTTTGAAAGCTGGAATGCACTGAAAAAGTGAACTTTTTTAGTCAAGCAACTAAAATATAATTTGCTGATTGCATAAAGTAGAAGCTGCTGGACAGAATTTTCATCAGATCATGAATAACCTGCCATATACACTTTTCAAGCAGAACAATTATTATGTAATTACTTACTTGAGAGTTAAACACCAGTTGAATAACTATCATAAAAATGAGTTCAGTTTGCTTTCGATCACTAGAACTTATTTACCAGAATTCAGTTAAAGTCTGAATAAACTATTTTGCAAGTTACAGCCAGTTTAAGTAGTTGTATCACACTAATTGGTGTGTATAATTAAAGGTTCAATTCTTCCATGCATGTTTATCAGTACCTTAACTATCAAATTCTGTTATATGTCAATAAACAGTCAACTTATTCTAGTTATGACAGACGCTTTTGATCATTCGTAAGCATAAAAATATATCGTACTTCAAAGGAAATATTCTCTATTAAAAGTGCTTTTCACTTTCGTTCATTTTTAGATTCCTAGAAACAGTGAAATATACTTACAGTAAACACCAAATGAATTCATCTCAACAAGCCAAACTTGTATGTGTTCATAAGGAATTTTTAAAAGCCTCTCTTTTTGCCTTGTACATCTTTATAATTTATCTATGCAAAGATGACTGTTCTTCTAGTTCGTCTCAAAAACGATTGCCGTCACTAATTGTTACCAGATTATCATTTTTTTAATTGTTACAGTTTAAGGAATTTTATCCTTTGTTCTTAAGCAATCATTGTCAACCATTGTCTATTTCATAACTAACTATTTATTCTGTCTTTTTGTTCATCACTAGTATACAAAGTAATAATCACAAAAAAACCTTTTAAAATCTCACAGATCTTACTTCCCAGTTATTTTATACCTTAGCTAATATCACAGTTACTTTGATTACTTGTTAGTTTTCGATACTTTTCAAACCGTGACCTATCAACAACTAAATTATTATCACTGGACCGGTATGTTATTGAATAATTTTATAACACTATTTAAAAACCTAAAGACACCAAAGGACAGCTAATTAAAAAAAGTATTTCATCTCTATTGATGGCTGTTCTGTGATGCCTAAATTGGTATTTTTCCCTTTACAGGCAGCTGTACCTTCTGAAACAAATAGTAAATTCTTTATTTTTAAGGTAATATTCATCATAACCAGACATTATTTCAAGAGTCGTTGGGAATCTGAGAGCCCAGTGCAGCTTTTTCGTTCTAGCAGGGGAATCCTTAGCAGTACGCACAAACCACCTCGCTAGAGATCAAACCCAGGCTCTATGGGTCTCACGGTTAACACGCCAGCCCCTAAGTTACTGAGCAAGGGTTCAACATAACGATATAGCGTGACTATTCACCTAGGTCTTTGGTTGGTATCCGCTTCACTTCAAAGGGTTGACCCCGTAGGTCATAACTTCTGATTTCATCAGTTGAAACAGTTTGAATTACTACCATGGAATAATGACTATTTTATCTTTACTGAGGATTTATTATTGGTAATCACTTTGTGATAAATCTCTGGATGAAATCGTACAAGTACAGCTTTTGTTGTAGGTACCTTATTTCTAAGTTTAACAGGTGGTTACAGTTTACAGTAATATTTAATAACATATTAGGTTGATTGATAGCTTTAATCATTATCATCTTTTTGTCTGTTTAGTCTACGGTTTCATAGCTTTCTGTCAGATCGGTTTGATATTTAGAAAACTAGTCACTTAAGAAGGTTAAGAAGTAAGTTTGCCGATGATAAATAACAAACGAATAATTTAATGTTGCAGTAACTTGAACCTAGTAAGTAAGATGGTCAAGACCTTTGCAAACAGGAAAACGTTTACCATTATCATTTATTAGGTCGTGGCTAGCAGAAGATTCCGGGACGTGTGTTTCATCCCATTTAAGTTTCTTCAGCTGCATCCACCTGAACTCCAGTGAGTGATGTTTCCCTCACTGGGTCTCGAATACCATACCCCTTCGCTTCAAATGGCAAGGCATTATCCACCAGACTACTGAGCAGAGAAAGCTAGTCTCATTAAAAACAACATCACTCACTGAGGTGCAGGTACATCGAGCTGGCGAAACGCGCATCCTGTATTTTTCTGCTAGCCACATCCAGGTAAATCATCAAAATAAATACTAAGGCAATATCGAGGCATCCAAATAGGAGCCCATAGGCCATTGAAGTTCGGACAATTCGATCCAGTATAACAATAAAGAATTACAGATATATCAGTTAATGATAAGAAAGAGGGTTAGTCAAAAAAATAATCCCATCCAATATGAGAGAAAGTTAAAAACTAGGTTACTAGGTCAAGGGAAAGTTGATTTTGATGAATTTGAGCACTTAGGTATAATGTACTTCCACATTAAATTAGTCTGTCTGACATAGCACACAGTGATACACTATTATTTATTAGGTGAAGTTTCGAGCAAAATAAATGCATAATAGTCATATCAAAGTATTTATACCAT